TGCGGAGAGACACGAAGAGACAGGGAGAGACAGGGAGAGACGGGGAGAAATAGGGAGAGACGCGGAGAGACAGGGAGAGACGCGTAAAGTCACGGAAAGATGCGGAGAGACGCGGAAAGTTGCGGAGAGACAGGGAGAGACGCGGAGAAGCTGGGAGAAACAGCGGGGAGGAGAGAGAGAGAGAGGGGGGGGGGTCGTGAAGCTATGTAAACGCGGGGATTCGCGACGAGGTCGGGGGCGTCGGCGCGCAGTCGAAGAATCGAAGCTACAAAACGGTTAGTAATTTACGAGCGAGCCCGCTCGTAAATCTAACCGAGTGAAGTTGCATTACCCAATTCCATTTATCTCTTTGAAAAGATGCGGCTTCCCGTATAATTCCCCGAGCTTTTATTCCCTTTTACATTTTCTGCAATCTATTTTTCGATTTAGTACACAAACAAACATTACGCGCGATTTAAAGCTAAACCATTTGCCCATTAATTGATCCGGGCGAAATATTTTTGTCGCAGCGTATAAAATAATGTACTTTTAACGAATAACAAACACAGCAGGTGTTTAAAACCGTGCGCGTTACATTCTTTTAAAATCCGCCGTCCCCGTTCCATCGGGCAAAATTGAAATAAAAACAGATCCTATTACAAATTCTACAAAAATGTTGGCTAAAATGTCGCGCGGCAAATATACAACAGTAATTGTTATTAAAGTTTTATTATGTGCGTATGGGCGTCGCATATCAGTAAACAAAACTTGAAATCGGTTCCATGGGCGTGTGGGACGTGCGATTCTCCTCCCTGTCACGGGCTGCGCGATAATTTTAAAATGTTACGGAATCACCGACTTAAGATTAATCAATTCGGACTGTTTGCACTCCCGTGACGCCCGTGCGTAACGCAATTTCGCGTATTCCAAAAGCGATGACGATTACGACGACGAGAGCGGGGCGCGTTAACTTACGCGTGACCTGCTCGCGCGCGCACGTGTGCACCACCGGATCGGGGAAAAGCTGGAAAACGCGCGCGGCGCTTTTCCGATGACAATCAGACCGCAGCGACCGCCGACGGAATCCCGTCCGCGTTCCGCCACGCCCAATAAAAACCCCCCCTCCGTCCCCAGCCCCGTTTTCTACCCCAGCCCATCCCCGTCCCTTCGAAACCATCTCGTCGAGCGGCCTAATAAATCCGACAGACGGGATTGGCGTGCGCTATCAATTAAAAATGATGAAACCGAACGGCGCGGCGCGCGGCTCGCCGCGGCCGGGCGAGCGGATAGAGCCCAGCCCCGCGCTTGCATCGCGAGCAAAGCTGATTCCACAACCGCCTTGTCCGCTCTGGCGTAATAAGCTTAAGCGATTAGGTATACCTCGGGGGCGGCCTGAGACGGTTGCGGTGCCACGGTTAGCGAGAGCAGGCCGGGGGTGGTGAAAATAAACGAGAGAACAAGACGCGCGCGGACCGTGCGGACCCGTGCTTCGAAACACTGGGGAAAAAAGCCCGCTCCTCGCGAGAAGACGAAGCGCGAGCGTGTCGGCAGCTCACGGTGGGTTTTAAACGCAATTTAAATTTTTAATTGCGAGTCCGTCGACCCCGGAGGAACGACGCCTCCCCCGCCCCTCGCGCGGCACGTTGACGTTTTGTTTCCAGAGGGCAGGTCCGCGTGTTTGCTAAAAAAATTTTTTTCCCCCGAATTTCCCCGACGCTGACTGGACAAGTGTATTCTTGTACGTAGCCCCTTGGGCAGGGCGAGAAATCGAATTCTAGAGTGTCTTAAAGCTTCGTATGAATAACAGCGTACTCGAGTCGCGTGTGAATACACTTTGACTATTATGTCATTCATTACAACTTATATACCCTGGCTGAGGTAATATTTTTTTCGCAATAAATTTATAATATGAATTATTTAGACACTTACATCCTGCCACGGCTTTGTCGTCCTTAATCCTTCGAATTTGTGTTTATCACGCGTGAGCCTTATGGAGTTTATTAATTGTAATTATAATTTGTGTCGAATAAATTAATGCCTATTTGTTACATCACCCGAGCGAGATGAAAAGATTACGAGTAACACACATACGTTGTACGGGCTTCGTAATAACGCATTGTTTCTTTATACAGTTCATTATTTTTGTAAACAGTTTCTTACTGTTGGAGTAGCGATTTTTCAAATAGCGAGTCTCGAATATGCAAAGACAATTAGGATTTCTTTTTCTGTGTCTCACGGAAATGCAAGTATGTCGTATCGCAAGCGTTCGTGAAAGAATTTACAAAATAATTTTATTTTTACAATAAGCCGACACATTATAATTACAGTCGCGCCGTAATGTTTCTGTACCTACTTAGCTTCTACTGCTAATTATCTGCCTATCGTCTATACAACGCAGAAAAGTAGGAGAGAGAGAGAGAGAGAGAGATAAATTATGGAGCAACTTTGTTACTGGGACGACGTGCTTATCTCGCGATATAAACTGCTTGTTAATTGCGACAATGAAAGCTCCAGCTTTCTGAGAGACAGACGGCTCATGCCTCGCCTACTTCCAAGCCGCCGTTGCACCCTTCTTAACGGCCATCTATAGGCCACTTAAGGCGCGAAGATAATTCCTACGTTTCTCGCATTGCGTGTTTAATGGTAACTCTAACGAGCCGAATGCCCGCGACACTACGAATTAGCGTGGTCGCCTCGATAAAACCCTAATTGCAATCGACGCGTAATCTTAACCATCGCTGGCAGGCGAGAGAGCCAGCCCTTCGCGGCAGTGGAGACTTAAGGCGGGCGCCCGGTAAAAATCAATTCCGCGTTCGAGGAGGTAGAAAGAAAAAGCAGGTGCTCGTAAGGCTGCCGGCCGGGTTATTATCCTATGTTGCCGAGAGCCCCGCCCAATAGCGTAACAAAGTGGCGATGCTGACGAGGCCTGTACCGAGGTCTCTTACGGGCCCTCTCTCTCCCTCTCTCTCTGCCCCCTTTTAGACCCTTATCTCTTTGAGCAAAAAACAAGTTTGTAAGAAGCTCGTAAAGATAATTATTGTTATCACTCTCCCATTGGGATTTGTAAGTGCACTAACCCGGAAATTGATTATTAAAATACATACTTAATAATTGCTCTCCCCTCCCCTTCTTATCATTTGATTGCGTCTGTTTTACAATGCGCTTCGCTTTTACTGGCCGAGAACGTTTCAATTCTCGCGCGAGATTAGAATAAAAAAAGCGTGCGATAACGTGGATATGGGACCGGAGGACCGTACGCGATGGTCCTGGACGGACCATCGGAGCCACGGTAGCTGCGCCACTGGGCCCCGGCGTGTACTACGTGCCGCTCGGCAAGCGTGCCCCCGGGAGCCTAATCGATGCGTCGTCGCACGCGACTGCGTGCTTTTATCGCTGTCACGCACATAATTAATTTAATTTAGTCTAATACGTTGGCCCAGCGCGCCAGGCAGCGATTGTCGTTCCGATTGTTTGCACGGAAACGCCAACGTTAACCCCCCCCGGCCGGTTCGCCGAACACGATATTCGTATCCGTCAAATTTCGGCTGAGGAAGAATAAATCCTACTCTATCGTGCGCCGCGGGTCGCACGCGCAAATTCATACCGCCTTCGCGTCTAACAATAAGTACGAGAGAAACGTTTGTAGCACCCGTACTTTGCGCACGAGATTATTTACGTACCTAATTGCAATAAATCTTTCGGTATCTCGGTAGTCCTGCTTTACATCAAAATGTATATTTCATGCTACATTTTATTATGCAACGATGGTCAGTCCGTTCCCGTTCACCACAATTATCAAAGCATTTTCTGGTATTAGAGGAAAGTCCTCTATTATGAGATATAGGCTTCTAATACGAGATGGCAAGTTTTCAACATGAAAATTTTATCGCAAATCTTTATTCACACCGATTACACGATCTAACAATGAGTCTTCCATTAAACCGATTTCACTCCAAGGGCAATAAATGAACGATAAAACCGATAGATGGTGTCTATTAATTTAGCAGAAACCCCGCTATCTCGTACCAGGAGCTTGTCTCATAATAGGGAACTTTTCTCTAGCTGTGGAGAAGAGACGCGATAGGAAATAGTCGTCGTGATATTAAGACCCTAAAAGGGTTTGTCTGTACGCGTGTAGAGGCAAGAGGCAATTTATAAATCTATTAAGCGTTCTCAGGGGGATATAAAATGATTTCTCGCGAAAAGGGAGGGGATATAAAAGATCTCTCAACGTGTTTCCGTCTCCTCCTCCGCTCCGTAAAAGGAAAAGATATTTTTCAATCGAGCGTCATCACTTTTAAGTTCGAAAGAGCGCTCGCTTCACTCTCGAACACGCTACAAGTCGCAGGAAGGAAACGTTACCTCCTCCTCCCTGCCGACCCTGCCGACTTCGCTCGGCGAGTGACTCACCTGAACACGAACTTCCGGGAGGTTGACCTTCATGGCGAGCTCCTCCCTGGAGTAGACGTCCGGGTAGTGGGACTTCTCGAACGCTCTCTCGAGCTCGTGCAGCTGGTAGGTCGTGAAGGTTGTCCGGTTGCGACGGTGCTTCTTCTTGCCTCCGTTGCCGTTTATGTCCTCCCCGCAGCCCGCGCCGAGCTCCTCGTCGCTGCCGCCGCCGGTGGAGTTGCAGCTGTTCTCACCTGGAACACCGCGACAGAGGGAGAGAGTGGTCAGGTCTCCTCGGAAACGGTCGTTACGGGTAATAGGAGCGGTAATGGTGATCGATTTATCCGGAGTCGCAGCTATTACCCCCATTATGCGCGCATAATAGTAGCTATTAGAAGTGCTGCAACGCGTGGCCGCGCGGAAACGCGTTAACGCGCGTACGAGTGAATTCGGCCGTGCGATTTAAAGCGCCACTCGCGCCTGGATTTCTTTCCCTTCTTTCTGTTTTTTTCTCCTTTTGCGCGATCGAGCGAAATACGACGCGTTACGCTTCGTTGAATGTAAAAGAGACTACGAGGATTAATTAGGGTATTTGACGTTTAATGTATGCGATGCTTAAGGAGAACGGAAGGACGCCAGTTACGGTTCGACGGGTGGATTACTTTTCTCGGCGAGCGAGAACGTACGGTATCGGTTGTCATATTTCCTTTATATGAAGGTACAATATAATCTCGCGGCGAACTTGCAAAAATAAAATGTAAATCAGCGCACGATGCACCATTATGAACGTTGATGAACCTTCTTCCCACATGATTTCGCCGGATAACGAAGTGGATGAACTAAATTGCTATTTTTTCTTCCGTCAATGATTTGAAATAAATAAAAGACACTTCCCTCTCTTTACGGTATTAACGCGAGAGTGGAAGATTGGATATTGGAGAACAAAGCTGCTGGCGAAGCATTTACGTTTGGAAAAATGTTATAAAATACCGTAAAATATTTTCTTTCTTTCTAACGATATTTCTTTCAACGTTTAATCAGACACTTGAAACATTTTTTTTTAAAATAAACACGTTACAAAATGCAGGTTTCTGTGTCGTCGAATAAGGAAGAAATTATACATGTGCAGTGTATAAACAAATAATGAAAGAGAAAATAGCGTAATTGTCGAAATAATAACTGTGTTATGGTTGCTATGAAACAATTGATGAAATAAATTTGTTAAAACCCTATAATTCCGCTGCGGATAGAAATAGGCAGGACAAGTCTGCGTATTACGATTGAGGTATAAAACGAGTAGAGTCGGAAACGTTCTCGTTTCCAGGTGTTCGAGGGAAGGATGTCCCGGAATCATCTAATCGTTGGCGAGATAAACGGGAGCATCGGCGTAAGTGCGCGTCGACACGCACCCCTTTTTATACCGAGTGACACGTTGCATTCGTGTAACTGGGCTCTATCGTTTCGTCACCGCTTATCCGGCGCTTTATTAAGGCGACGGCCACATCGCCACCGCCGTTATCATCGTTAACGAAAGGGTCAGCGCAGCGAAAACGACGGGGATTTATTTACGCTGCCGAACAATCACGCGATCATTTTCATTGCAAATAACGACGACGCATTCCGTCGTATTTGTGCATTTAGAAACGTGGCCGCGGCATTCGTGCTCGGTATTCCGGCCGAGGTCTAATCGATTTAAGCGCGGAATTAATTGTCCGACCGACTACGATATGCCGTGCCGGGCGCGCACTGTGCTTAATTGTTTCACTGTCAAAGCGCAGGTGCATTGTAATGAGATTTGCATTGGCGATGACAGCGCTGACGATGACATCGTGTTTGCCGTAGTCTCGGAAAGTATAAGCTTTCTTGATATGATACCGCGTATCTCTATTTAATTTATGTAACACAGGAAATGGACGTGCCATTATTTATGTCTCTAATAACTGTATCGTCAAAAATACGGTAGACAATTTAAAGACAAATTACGAATACCTTGTCGGTGAATTTTAGAGTTTGTTAGGTAGTGGAAATGTATTACACCGAAGACATTTGATTTACAATGTTAACTCTGAAATCCATATCTACTTTTAACATAACAGAAATCTGATTTCGCGTCATTTCTTCGTGCAATTACTCGATGCTCAGTTTTAAATTCAATTTTCATTTTAATTTTACCTCGCAAAGATTTTCTCTTTCGAAAACAAGTGTTGCGAGAGGGAAAAAATATTGCATCGCACGGTTTGTGGAAAGTCCGCTGCTTCGGGTAAAAATACTACTACTGTGTCTTACCGTGCACTTTTACCTACTTTCGTATAAATTACAATTTTCTTCGTAAATTACACGATCGTCGCCAGACCGTGCAATTTCGCGGATTAAATCATTAAGTGAGTAATCACTGGGTAATTTTCGAGCACTTTGCGTCGCTGTGAGAGAACTTAAGGCGCGTCAACACGCGGCACTTCCACCGAGCAATTACGCTATCTCTTTCCTTGCAAATTACACCTTTCGTTGAGGTTGATGATTGCTCGCGTCTGAACGACCAATCAGAGCTCACATTATTTTCATTTTCGAGGTAATATCGCTCGAAAAGCGGAATTTCTTCACCGTTTCCTCGTATATTAGGTTGCTAAATCAATATTAATCGTACAAGAGACTTTTTTTTATCTACCATTAAAAGATACATTATTTTAATTCGGCAAAAATTGATTCAAATTGTTATCTCTATATCAAGGATTTGCATAGCACGCGAGACATGTTGCGACAGATTTTACGAAAGCCGTCGATAAAAATTGCGCGGCGGGCAATTAAACGGCAAACAAAACTGCACTTCGATCCGCCGTTTCGCAGTCCTGTCTTGGCTCCGCTAAAGATTAATACGACTGTACGCTATTACACAATGCGGAACGCGTTGCGCTCGCTGGGCGAACTATTACGCGATCATTTTCCCTGCAAATTACATCCATCCCGGGTGCTGCGGTTACTCGTCGACGAACGCCCGATCAAACCTCGCATTATTCCCGTCCCCGAGTGTAATATCGTCCAAGAAACCGAACGGCACCACCGACGAAGAGATTGATCCTGCGGGACCGCGGTAGCAAATAGGTATTTTCCACCCTGCACCCCCCGTCGCTACTCCACCCTTCGCGTTCGCCCCCGCCGTAAATCCTAACTTCATCCCGATCGGTCCTGTAGACGTACCGATCAGGGGAAGTTTCTCTTTTGGGCAGTACCTCCTGGGACCCCCCTTCGACATATATTATATATATATGTGTGTGTGTGTGTGGATATACATATACCCAGGTACTCGCTCATTAACTGCATAATTAACCTTCTCTCGCGTCGCAGCGCAGCGCGTTAGATCGAATTGTGGGGCCGTAGGGGGTGGTGGCTCGATGGCGGCGTTCCGCGCGCACTCGCGCGAGCGTGCGCAGGCTGCTGGCACGGCACGCATCCACCGGTCACGCGCACGCACCCAACACACGCGCGGCGCCCACGCATCCCCGGCGCATAGCTTCCTCGCGAGAAGCTTCGCCCGGCACTAACCAACAACCTAATAACCTCGCCTTGGCTGGCGATTGACGCGCGCTTGTACCGGCTAATTATCAACAACAATCGATAATGGTCCTCTATTCCTCTCTCTCTCCCGTCGAGAGTGCCGACGCTACCGTGCCACCGCACTGCCCTCTTCCGCCCCCTCCCCCTTTTCCACCTCTTCTTCGGCCACGGTCTCCTTCCGTTCCCTTCGTGATCCTCCTACGCTATCTCCTACGACATGCATCCGCATGGTGATTGCTCTGTTCCAAGTCGCTAGATCTTCTTTCTTTCCTCAGGGTCACGTTTATATGAAAATTAAGGATTTATAAACTAGTGGACTCTTCTCTCTCACAAACCAAACAGTCGCCGCGAGATAGGTTTGTGCAGAAGTTTTGTTAATTTTTGAAAAGGAAATTTGCTTAGGAACTATTAATCCAGATATCATTTCTAGTAAAATACGGCTCTTTTAGTGAAAATTTCTAGTATAAATAAATGTGAAACATTTTGTAGATTTTGGCAGGGTTTTCTGTTAGAAACAACGTCCACAATTTTTATATTGGATTGTATAGTTTTATAGAGGGAAGCATTTAAATGTTTCCTTTGAACATGCCTACACGCGAAAGTGAGAGCAATTTCCAAATCGGAATTGGTATGTTATTTAATTTAGTTGTAACCGTTTCGTACTAATTTGACGAAGAAAACGCATGGTAATTCGATATAAGAAACTTAACAACATTATCGCTGTTTTAAACTTGCTGGTGAATTTTAATTATCCAATCGTGAGATTGCAAGACAGAAATTGCGAATGTTTGCAGATTCGTGGCGGTCGAAGGTTATTAACTAATTTAATTCAGCCTTCTCCGAAAGACGTGCAGCCGTGCGCGTGCATGCTAAAAGTTCATTCGTGCTCCGTAAAGTTCTAACCGCCACCCGATAGAAGTTGGAAATTTACACCTGGAAGTTGCGTGTCGTCGTTCTCACTCTTAGGCATTAGTGTCAAATGAAAACATTTGAAAAAAATTGAAACAGATTGCACCGAATAAGTTTGCAACTTATACCTCTATCGATCTGGACATTACACGTATCGCACCCCGTAACAAATAACGCGCAGCGCGGATTGGCGATGGCACGCGATTCCTTTATAATTTTTTAATATCCGCAAATAAATGATTGGCGCGAGGTGTGCCGACCCGGGCAGTTGTGTCTCGATTATTTATCCGCCCGTATCGAAAAATAATAGGGGAACGGGGAATAAGTACGAAATATCCCACGCTCGCGTGCTGTTTGCGCGCGACGATTGCTCCGTACGGATATTCACAGAAGCGGATTTCTGTGATACGGGGGTAGGCGTATACTCGAATAACTGGATGCCTCGTGTGTATGTGCGCGGGATACGTCTGCGCAATAATTGGTTTCGGTCGGGACAGAGTAACCATCGTGATTAAATCCTACGAGGCAGCTGCAGGGTGGCGGAGCGCCGTCGCTCTTACTACTTGCCGCCCTGTTATATCGAGGAGTACATCCCCCGATATAACGAGAACGACCTGCATTTTCGTGGATTAAACGCGACACTATGCCCGGAAAGCGAAAGTTTATGACATTATCCGAGAGCCGAGATCAGAATTGGCTAGGGGCGGTTGAGAATCGAAGAGCGTCTCGTTGACCATTTTCCGCGCGTTACGAACATTTGCGAGAAATTCATATCGTCATTTTACAAATGTAA